GCAACAAACACTCATTACTTTAATCTTTAGTAAATGCATGTTTTAGGTGGAATGTTAATAAAATGTAATGAGTGAGTGAGGTCAAATGCTTTTAATTTTATTTCAGTTTCCTGCTTTCTAATTTCTGCACAATACAGGTTACATTGATTTTCTAACTCCCAGACATCAGTTGGTTTCAGTTCATAGGAAAATAAACTTGCACAGACTTGAAACGTGTTTGACAAGCGGTACAGTAATCAATCACACTGAACATGTCCGGAAAAATCCCTGTGTAGGTGCAATTTAAGGACACTTTACACCTGACATTTGACACAACTGATGACTTAGACACTGTCTGAGTAAATTTTTAAATATTTAGGTAAACACACTTTAGTAATACTGTTTATAAACACGGTCATAAAAGGTATAAATATTACTACAGTGATTGTGCAACCACTCTCTGAAGTTCATTTAATTTCCTCACGAAGATCCTGTGATTATCAAATGAAATTTTAATTCTTATCGTTTTTGCATGTTAATATAAAATTTTAATTATTGCACCACTAATACAGACCAAACAGTGACAAAGAACTGGCGCACAAGGACCTTTAGATATCAAGAAAAGTAGCCTCATGTTCAAACGTCTACAGCAACAACCATTAGTTTCTGAAATGTAAATACCATAACATATCATGATGGCGTATACCTGTAACATCATATTTGTGCAACTTCTGATCACCAATAACCCTACACATTGGTCTGCAACAGTGTTATTAATAATTGTTAATAATTATTATTCAACATCATGGCATATCTCCCTACCCTTTGCATTCTTTCCACTTTTGATCTGCAAATTCTTTGTAGTGACACAAATCAGTAATTGCATTATCTGATCCTGCAAGATTTTACACACATTCACGTCCAGGTCAACACAGTTTTGGCTAAAATTATCTTCACGGTGGTTTTACTTATATCACAATGATTCACTGTGACAACCAGTGATCAAGTATTCATTAAATCACTTTTATATCACTATATATCACAATTAAATATGCTTCAAATGTCTAAACTCTTCTTCGTCAACAACTCAACCAAATAAAATGGATTTATGCTTGTGTAGTTAAAATGTTCCCAGTGTTGACAGCAGAGTGATTAATCACTGCCCGCTCAGTGATTGGACGGTTTAAGTCACCAAAGCAGGCAACCTGAACACAAACTGTCAATGTTGTACCCGATCAAGGTTTAACCAACTGTAGAGGTCAAACAGTTACAGTTATTATATTACATTTTTTTCTCCTGAAATTACTCCAAGGGTTTTTATTCAATTATCGTTCAATTTCAAGGAACTTTTTCGCAGTAACGTAAATTATAACATTTATTATAACATATATATTATATTATAACACATATACATAATTTATATTATTATTGCATTATTAGCCAGCTAATAAACCAAATACCAAAATTCATGGTAATAAGCCACATGAAGAGCCTGTTTTACCAACAAAACTCTTGTTGAATGCGCCTGTTTATTCTGATCAAGGTGCTTCTATGAGGCCACTTTTAACTTATTTAATCAAAGGATTCTATGTTACATCTTCATCTAAATGTTTTACTGTCGTTGTGTATATAAAAGTGTGAGCTTTTCAATAAACTTATTTTGTTATTTTGGGAGCATTGTTTTAAATTCCACTGCTGCTGCATATAGTAGTCAAAGAGTAAAGTCACAAAAGAAAAGACACACTCTTTTTAAGAAGCACTGGTTCACGAGGCAAGAATTAGGAAACACTGGTGACGTCTGAGAGCTTGTGCAGTTGAAAGTGAAAGGGCGAAATCACTGATTTAGAGAAGCATGGGAGACTTCACATGTGCTATTCTGCCTTCTCTGAATGGCCTTTTTTGTGAAACCTTTTACACCCGTGTGACAATTTAATGCTCCGGTTAATGTGCTCCTTTCATTTCTCTTCATATGTAGTTGTGTTTTGATCCGGTAGAGTAGGTGTTGAGGCACCCAGATCTTTAAATCACAGCAGTAAGTTGACATTTGTTGAAAAGGACTCCCGCCAAGATGGGAACAAAAATCTGATTGACAAGTACAAAAACAAGCCATTTCGACAAGGCACTGAGCGAGCAGCATAATTCCTTGAGAGGCGACAAGCCGCCTCCTGTTATTTTTCCATCCAGGAAGCTTCACACGGAAACCGACCAAATTTGATTTGAGAACATTAATTCTATTTATTTGAGGGAGGAAATGAGGTGCTGAGTCAGGGGAGGAGCAGCTGGATTTAAGCACAACAGAAACCAAACACCTTTTAGATCTCGGGCTCGGTAATCACTTCGCAACATACAAAGAGCACTTTTCTCGCCCCTCTGCGTGTTTATTTTACGATCAGACTTTTAATTTGTGTACTCGTGCAGCTAAGGTATGGCAGAATGTGAGCAAGAGATAAAAAGAATGAGGAGGAGGTGGAGGTGGGAGGAGGAAATGTTAGGAATCACAACACAGGAACTTGACCCCTACACGAACTTTCAGAGCCACAAAACAGAGGCGCTTGGGACCAGTAAAACAACCAGAGGAGAAAACTTCACTTCCTTTTACCTTCTTTATTTCATACCTTTTTTTTTAATGCTTAATTTAAATGTAACAGATGTTCATAATTTATATAGTCAAGTCAATGGGCTTTATAATGTTTCCAGCATACATGTACCACACCCTCTAGCCCTACACCCTCTTCAGTTTGGTTTGAGAACAGATCAAACTTATTTCGGATGAACTGTAGATTTTGTTACCTTTTGTCAGACCCAAGCTAACCTCCCCCTGTTTCCAGTCTTAATGCGAAGCTAAAGTTAGACAGCTGCTGGCTGTAGCTTAGTATTTAGCACAGATGTGAAGGTGGTATCAATAATCTCGCCTAAATCTTGGCAAGAAAGCAAATCATTTCCCAAAATGTCAAACTTTTCCCTTAACTCACCCAAATGAAATATCAAACATTCACGAACTGCAACTAATTATTTGTATTATTGATTACTCTGCTGATTATTTTCTCAATCATTAAATTAAGCCTTCAGTCTGAGCAGTGAAGAACACTGATCACAACTCTTCCCAAAGAGGCTTCTTCAAATTGGTTCTCTGACCATTAGGCCCAAACACAAAGATACATGTGTCACATATGTGAAAAAGCAACACATTTGAACAGTTTTTCCCAACATTTGGTATTATTGCTTAAAATAAAATTATTAATCGATTATCAAAATAGTTGCAAAATATTATTGTTTCGATTGATCGATTAATGAATCACCTTATCTTTGCTGCTCTAATGCTTATAGGACTTGAATGATACTGGGGGAGACAGTGCTGTTTGAAATGAGTAAAACTCATCTAATAAGTAACTTATAAAGTGGAATCTTGTCAAAACATGTAGGATTATTTCTAAACATAGACTAAGTGTAAACACTGTGTAGACACTGGACATTATCTATAAAATACTGTACCTATACTATATTAGGCATTTATTATACATATGATCAAGGACCAAATGGAAATAGTGAAACTGCAAGTGCTGCCACTCACAAACTATACTCCTGATTGCTCACACGGTGTACTACCTTCTAAAAAAGTGACAATCAACATTTTTTCCTGGTCCCTGGTGAGGTAAAAACAGTTTACTTTGATAGTTTAGTGAATAGTTAGATAGTTTTAGTAAAGAACTGAACATTCATGTATATTGAGCAAAAATGCAATGTGAGGTTGTGAAGAAACTGCATGTGTGTGTGGGCACGTGTGTGTAGAACAAACAATTCAAAGCTGTTTTTCCTCAGACAGACTCTTGTGTTGACATCAGATCTGGGAGGATGAGCAGCCAGGCGGTGCCCAAGATCACAGAAAGACAATAAGTCAATATACATTTTTAAAATGCCATTTAGAGTTCAAGAGCACACAACAACACAGAGCAGAAGGATGAGAGGAGCTGCTGTTGAACCCCCGCTGGATGTGGAATCACAACATATTATGGGCATGTATAATGAAACAGCTTTCACCATCACTTTTGAGCCATTATGGCCGAACACCACTCAGGAAAGGGGATTTTATGGGGGGGGGAGAGATAATGTTGTAAATTCATCAGTAACCCAAAATAATGAAGCCGGATTTTCTGATGTATTAAATTTGTTTTCCTAATGTCACCCAACCTTTATTTGTAGCCATGACAGTGTCTCACAAACGGGTTGCAAAGGTGACAATGTCAACACTGATTGTAACCACGAGAGCGCGATTCATAATTCTGGGAATGTAGTCATCATGGTCTGGTGGGATTTTGTCAAGGGGTGGGGCATATTCCGCTTTCAGATGGGAAACGAGGAAAAGAAAGAAAAAAAAAGAAGAAAAAAAAAACTTTGCAAACTTACGCGGCAGCGGAGACAATGAAGAGCTGATTTTAACGCTAGATACGAGCGTCCGGAGCTCACGGAGGTGGAGGTGGAGGAGGGGGGGGGAAGAAGAAGGCAGAATTCATTTTGTAACATGTTTCCCTCAGCCTCTGCCTCTCTCTCCCTACCCCCACTTCCACAAACACATCCCGGACACAGACGCGCTATCCCGACACGGCACACAGTTCCCTCATAAAAGTTGCTCTTCCACCATTGACTGCCCCCCCTCCAATGAGTGAGCACAGCCATAGCGACATCCTTTTACAGTAGTACACACAGCACAAATACTACTAAATAAAAACAGCAGGCGTCCAACATGACAGTACCGAGCGGCAGCAACATATTCCCACCTACACACACCGACGGAGCACGGCTGCTACATAAAACTGTATTTCCACTCCACGAAGTCATGAAGTTAAAATTCACTACGTTTTCGCTTTTTCAAGGACACTGCAGCTCACTGTCACACAAGCCTCTTTTTCCTTTTTTTTTTTTGTGGCTTTTTTTTTTTTTTTTTCTAGTCGCGACATACACGGGCGTGTTGCCCTGCAGGGCGAACAAAGCTGAAAATAAAAGAAAATCCCGAAAGCGTTTACCTTTTTGCTGTTTCTGCTGTTATAGCCGTTGTATGGGTTGATTCCTGCCCTTGGCGGTACGGAGAGCAGCATTTTTCTCGGCGCTATGTCCGGAGCGGCGAGCTCAGCCCAGGCTGCCAGCTGACGTCAGCAGCTGGGGAAGTGAGAGCCTGGAGTCCCGCTGATAGACTGCGAGTGGTGCTGCTGCTGCTGCTGCTGCTGCAGGACAGCCCCCCCTCAACACCAACACTGCTGGCCCCTGGGCTACTCCAAGGGGTCCCTCACACACTGCTCCAGGGGTGGGGTGTCCACAGAGAAGAAGGGGGGGGATTAGGTGTAAGTTCATTTACCGCCCACTGTTATTTCTCTCACCTGGGGGGTATGAGTAGAAACTGAGCTTCTCTCCAAAAAGTGTGACTCTAAGGACAAAGCGCTTGTAAAATCAGGTTATGGTGAAGCGTGTTTTTGTCTGGGGGTCTTTAATTCACTACCTGACCTCACTTCACTTCATTAGAGGTCGGGGTTTTTTTTTTTGTTTTGTTATTGGAGTTGTCTCATTTGACAACAATCTTAATAAATCTGCTTCATTTGCAATCGAATATCACAACAAAAAACTAGACTACTACCAACAGCCTATGATTTAATGTCATATTGGGCTATACATTTACAATATCCTCTATAGCCTATGTATTGTTGTTGTATTGATAACATATTGTAACTCTTAATTCAAATAGCCAATCCAGAAATGTATTGTTTGTACTTTCTGTTTATAGGCTACTGTATAAGATCAAAAACACAAGTAAGTAGAAACATTTCTGTGAAAAAACATTAAAGTTTTTGAAGAGTTCCATAAAATATTTCTAAGCGAAAAATATATTGAAGGTCCAATTTGAAACATTTAGGAGGATCTATTGATAGAAAGTAATGTTATGTTTTTGCTACTTTAAAATGAGATGATTTTTAAAGACGCCTTTCCATGGAGACCGCCATGTTGAATGGCTTTAGACTGGACCTGCACATTTCACGGCCACTGTAGTTTCTCCTAAATGTTTGGAAGGGGAGGGTGAAACAAAGGAGTTGCAATCTACACCTCCAGAGCAACTAAATCCTACACACTGGGGCTTTAAATGGTAAAATTCTCAGAGTTCTTAAAGTTTTAAACCACCATATAAAACTGCAAACTTCGAAGAGAATGTAAGGCCATTATGGAAGGAAGGATCATGACTGACAAGTTCAGCTTGCCATAGTTTGTGCCTCTTCTTCAATACTATTAAATCAGTGCATGTCTAAAGTGCTAAAATGCTGATGAAAGCATTTAGACTTGTTATCTGTGATAAGGGCATACGTGTATAAAAGCCCAACCATCTTTTAACCCAACCAGAGTGTGTGTACCCTCTTTGGTTTTGCCGCAGTCCTGTTCTTTGCTTGTGTAACCTTCTCCCTGTGTTTGTTTGTATTGATTGCTTAGGCACTCTTTAAACTTTGTTGTACAAATTTGCTATCTTAACAATATCATCCATATGAAGTTATAGTTAAGTCCTAGTGAGGAGTTCTGTAAAAAAAATCCCTTGATAAATCTATTTCTATGTTAAAGTGCGGACATTTCACACGTGCACGTCTTGGAGCACCACCAAATACAAAGATGACATCACATATTATAGTTACAATTCTCTGCTTTCAAAAAAGAAAAGATTTCCAATGTTTCTATGATGAATGTCAATGAGAAAGCACCTCTTGAAAAGACGGGATTAGTGTCCCAGAACTATTTAACCTTTAAAATGTCTATTACCTGCAAAATTGTATGTCTTATGTAATGCACAGGACCAGCTGACGATCACAAATCAATCATATGGTTTAGTTTGTGCTGCTCTAGATCAAATTTAAACTGCTGATGATCCTGCTGCTTTTTCCAAGACATTATTATTCCATTATCATGATGTGATTAATTATGCAGCACCACACTGATGCAAAGCAGTCTCACACAAGAGACATTGACTCAGACAAAGTGAAAACTCTTCAGGGTGTAGTCAGAGGGAACCATCAGCTAACCACAGCCTATTACAGAGATAATGTCTTGTAAATGGTCTAAAATAAACATCTGCATGATCCAGTGATGTGGACTGGTCATAGTGTAATGCAGCGGGTCCATCTGGTGCCCGCACTAACGATGTCCTGCAGTTTCCTCTGAAGGTCACAGACGAAGGCTGTTAAATTGCAGACACACATGCACACACAGTACTGAACCTAAACATTTGCCACCAGAGTGGGAATAAGCGTTGTCCTGAAGTTACCTTTCACATCTTATCCATGATTGCCTAGTTGGTGACTCTGGCTTCTTATCTACTTCTGCTATATTTAAATGCCTTTTCACTTTCTCCTGTTGCCAGTGACTGGCTGGGAGATGTATCCCAACACAGATGGCAGCTGAAACCTGATGCCTAAAATGCAGCGGCATTCAAAATAATCTGTACTGGTTACAATACAATATAGAGCACATCTGCTACTCGCCTGAATTATGCAACTTACAAGTCATATACAACACCTATGCACCATGGAGTGCTTACTATAAATAACATAAAAGGTAATTTTATCACACATGTATGTATGCATGCATGCAAAAAGAAAAAAGGCGGAAATCAATTTTGACACCAAGCATGACTTTTGTAGGAGCAAGGTCACTGATGAGATGGATAACAATCTAAAGTTTGCCAGAAGCTAGAAACAAATGCAAACAAGAAATTTATGAAGTAGAAGATTAATACCTTAATAAGATTAACAGTTCACATACATATCATCTTTCACTTTCCCTCATACATTTATTAGCTTTCATAAAAGACATTTGCAGAATTAACCAAAATTTGCCCAGCCTCCTGTCGAGCAGATATTTCTCTCCTTTCTTCACAGACTGCCCACTCTCTTGCTGTGAGCACTGTCTATGAACCGTAAAATGACAAATACAGCGGTGTGAACAGTATTTCTATGAGGTAGCGCTGTAAGCACTTTGTGTTGGTCTCTGTTTCATTCAGTCCTGCAGCCTGTCTGTGGGCTGTTCCTCTGTCTGCATTTAGGAACACACCAGTGACACTGTTGCACTCAGCAGAACCTCAGTCTGGCACAACCAGCCACTTTGACGACATGAACATTGTTTGGACGTCAACAGGCTTGTTGCTTGGTAACCCAGCCCCCTCCATCCCAAGTGTTCTGGCCTTATTACCTCTAGGGTAGCTAAGCAGTGTGTGCTTGTATGTGTGTGTGTATGTGCATATATGTGTTTCGAAAGTGTGTGTGTAAGTCACTGAATTGCCTAATGGTGTGTATTGGGGATAGGAGAGATGGTGCATCGCCTTATTTTCTTTAGTTTAAATTATGAAGACCTTGATGTGGGAGTGATACCTAGGTGATTCGAAACACAGGTCAGAGGTCATTCCATAAAACTGTGTTTTTTCTGTGTTGAAACATGGTTACTCTTTTTGTTGTTAATCTTAATCTGATAAAAAAAACAAATTCTTAATATAAAACTTCAGCATAAAATACAACAAAACAGCAGCAACTACCACCCATACGCAGCCTATTTAAGGACAACAGCACATGTTGAGGAAATACCACCCTTCCACCCTTTGCCTGCATTAACAACCAACACACCCACCCACCCCACACACACACACACACACACACACACACACACACACACACACACACACACACACACACACACACACATAACAGCATCAATGCTGTGGGGGTGAACCTCTGTCATCAAAGTGGGCTGTTGTTTGGGAGGAAGGGGAGCCTGTGTGTAAGGAGGAAAGTGGATATGAATGGCGTGGAAGGGTTCAGGGAGTTCATGTGTGAGTGAGGGGCTCGGTCATTGAGACTGTCAGTGTGGGGTTCAAGGTCAGAATGGCTAACAGAGGGGGAAAGACAGCAAACGGTGGTTGAACATATACAAGTGGAGGGGAAAAGGAGGGAAAGGGGAAAGGTTCAGTTTTAAAAGTTAACATTTGAAAGTTGTGTGGGAAAGGAAGAACGCACTAGAATATAAGAAAACATACTTTTACCAAGTGGTCTGAGTGTACTTTAGTTATATTTACACTGCTCAGAAACTGTGAATAATCTAGAAGGAATCTCTGCAAACATAACAAACTGTACTTTTTTATTTGTGTTATCATTTTACATAAACCATCATCCAGCAAAAGTATTTGTATTTGCCTGACTGCTTTGTGTCAGAAATAATGACATGAATTTCAAAATAAACTTTTTTTCAGAATAATGAACGTGCACTGCACAATGAAACGTACAAAAAAAACACATATTGAACTCGTAAAAAAAAAACACTTGTAATTGTACTTCTGCTCAACAGGGGCAGGATAATTTGGCGCTATTTAAATCCCAGTTGAGGTAAATAAGAAATGTGCAGTGGGCAGCACAGACAAACAGATGTATGTATGTGCTTGCTTCACGTGAGAGAAGTTACTTTTACACGTCTGCTGAACAGACCACACACACACACCCTCACACACCAGACAATCAGTCAAGCATTCCCTGTGGTTGGAATGTGTTTTTGAGGGAGAGTGTGAAAGAGGAAGTTTTGGTGAGGAAGGCTTGAGGGGATTGGTTGAGAAAAAACAAATAAATGTTGTTAGTCTGTTTTCATGACTAAATATGAATATGTGTGTGTGGAGAAACTATTTTAAGGAGAATGTGCTTTGTGTTTCAGGGTGAGATATACATATATGTAAATGTACACTCATGTAGCAATGGGAATTCTTTATTTCCATGCATGTACCAAAGCAGGTAAATTTATGTAAGCAAGATCAATGTCCATCCCATTTCCCATTTTTAGTTAGTTTGTAGTGGAGGTTCACTCCACTACAAACTAAACAAAAGCAATTTGGTCAAGGTCGGGGGCCCTTGGCAAAGGCAGTCATCAAAACACTCAAACAAGTGGGGCTGAACATACAGAACCTACCTTAATAAAGTTTATGTATTCAGACCTAAAAGACTGAAGGTATATCCTTGAAACCAAAACTTTTGTTTATGAGATCTATATGCATTAAGTCTGTAAGGGTTATATAAGAGTTCCTGTCACATACTAGGTTCCTCTATAAACATAATTTTGTTTCTAAACATATATGATTAACAGGTTGTCACAGAAAAACTGTGTATCTGTAAATAAAAAGTATACAG